GCCGCCGTCGCCCTCCTTGCTGGCCTGGTGCATGGAGTAGATGACGAACAGCACGGGCGGCGCCGACAGCAGCAGGATGTGGAAGAGCCAGAAGCGGTAGTGGGACACCGGGAAGGCGCGGTCGTAGCAGACCTGGCGACAGCCCGGCTGTAACGTGTTGCACACGAACTCCTCCTGCTCGTCCTCGAACACCGCGCCGCCCACCGTGGCCAGCACCAGGATGCGGAAGATCAGCATGATCACCAGCCACAGGCGTCCCACCAGCGGCGACTGCAGCTGCACGGCGTCCAGCAGCGAGCCTAGGAACGCCCACTCCCCCATGGCGCTGGGCGCGCAGCGGGGGACACGGGGGGGGGACGTCAGAGGCTGGGACCCAGGGGGGGACCTGCGCCTTCCACGCCCACCCGGTGGGACCCGTTTTATGGTCTCTTAACTTGAGCTTGAGACAGGGGTCAGAGAAGCCTGGGTTCAGCCTGTGGGAACTAATGAGTTAAACCTGGAAGCCCGGCTGGGAGGGTGGCTTTAGTGGTAAACTGTTGGCCTAGCATGTGTGAAGCCCTGGGTTCGATTCCTCAGTACCACATACACAGAAAAAGCCAGAACTGGCACGGTGGCTCAAGTAGTAAAGTGCTAGCCTTGAACAGAGAGAGGCTTAGGGACAGTGCCCATGCCCTGAGTTCAAGCCCCAGGACTGACAAACAGCAACAATAAAAAACAGCAACCAAAAAAATCCTGGAAGCCCTAGCCACTCACCCCTGTAATCCCAGCTGTTTAGGAGGCTGAGATGTAATACTCCTGCTTAGGAGGCTGAGATGTGAGGATAGTTGTTTGAAGCCAGCCAGCCACAAGACTCCTATTAATTAACCAGCAAAAAACTAGATGTGAGGCTGTGGCTCAAGTGGTAGAGCACTAGCTTTGAGTACAAAAGCTCAAGGACAGGCGGGGAAGGTGGCTCAGTGGTAGAGCGCTTGCCTTGCATGCCTGAGGCCCTGGGTTCGATTCCTCAGCACCACATAGACAAAAAGAAAAAAACCGGAAGTGGCGCTGTGGCCCAAGTGGTAGAGCACTAGCCTTGAGCTGAAGAGCTGAGGGACAGCACCCAGACCCAGAGTTCAGGCCCCACGACCGGAACCCCCCCCCCAAAAAAAAAAAACTCAGGGACCTGGGATCAAAAGAGAAAAACTGGGAAAGAGCAAGGAAAAGGGTGACTTTGTCCCCTTCTTCCCACCAAAAAGCAAAAGAAGAAACAACAACAACAACAACTCTTTACCTCACTTATGTATGTAACCCCTCTGTCCATCACCTTCATAACAACAACAAGCAGCTCAGGGACAGCACCTAGGCCCTAAATTCAAGTCCTAGGACCAGCACCATAACAAAAACCACCTCCAAACCCTGGACAGGACCTGCTGAGTGTAGTAGGTGGTTCTCAGCCACAGGTTCTCTTCTCTTTGGAGACAGAGGGTGCTGGAGAGGGGAGACCATCCTGGTTTTTAGCTAGCCATCCATGGACCCACTTGCTAGACCTTTCGTCCTCTAGACCACAGGCCTGTAAGAAGGAGCTTCTAGGTCCCCGGGACCGGCCTCAACTGGCAGTACAGATGCAGAGGCCCGGGGTGCTTCCCCAGGGCAAGCATGGTTCCGGAGGCCAGGCCTCTGAGCCTCATTTGAGAGCCTGGGAGCAGGAGCCAGAGGCAGACTGCGAGATCCCTCATGCCCCACTCCGCGCCTTTTCTCTTGCTCTTTCCACTGGATCGGGGACTGGCACAGAAGTGGCTTCGGCTGGCTTTCCTACTTCAGGATCCTCCTTGGCGGTGCTCCCTCCCACTCCTCCCTCAAGCAGGGTGGGAATTTGGTGCAGCCGGCTCCCACCTCCTCCTTCACCTCTTCTCACAGCTCCCGAACGCCTCCCCGGTCTGGACACACACCCCCCTGCAGGTGCCCTCAGACCCCTGGTGCCCCCAGCCCTGCTCCCAGCCCCACTTACCCTGAAGCTGGAGGGTTAGCGCTGAGGACAGGACCCTGGGAGACAGCTGGGACCTGTCCCTTCTGGTCCTTCTTTCATTTTCCCTTTCGGATTTGGCTGGGATGGGTGACAGGACAGGATGGCTGAGAGGGGCTCTCGCTCTCCCCCTTCTCTTAAAGGGACAGGGTGACCCTGCTGGCTGGCCCCACCTTGGGAACAGACCCAGGGCCACGCCCCTAGCTGGGCTCTGCCAGCCCTCCCTTTCCTCCCTCCCCCCCAACCCCCATGCCCATCCCATAGCTCTGTCTCCATCTGGAGTTGGGTGGGAGTTAACCAGAGCTAAAACTTTATTGAGGGAACCAGGGGGTTCAGACACCCTAGAATGAGCAGCCTAGATTGATTGTAGCTGACTGTCACCTTCAGGAAGGTGATCGTTGGCACCTGGCGGAGGTTCACATTGGCACTGGGCAACAGGTTTGTGCTGGTGATTAGGAGGCAGCAAACATCTAAAGACTAATGGCTCCAGCTCTGCCATGACTGGACCTGGACAAATTACTCAGCATTTCCCAAAGGGGCTGGGTCTGCCGACCCCCAAGTTTCATCTAGTGCTCTTGTTTGTGATCACTGTCTCTTCTCCCGCTCCCTTCTCTTTTTTGGTGGTATTGGAAGTTGAACTCAGGGCCTTGGCCTTGCTAGGCAGCCACTCTTATCACTTTGGGCCACACCCTCACACCCCGCCTTTTTTTGAGTAGGTTCTCAAGTGTATGCCCAGGATGGCTGGACCACAATCCACCTATTTGGCACTTTCCCACTTCTGTGTTGCTAGGATGACAGTTATGTGCTACCTTATCTAGTCATTGTTGGAGATGGAGGAGTCGTGTGTGTGTGTGTGTGTGTGTGTGTGTGTGTGTGTGTGTGTGTGTGCCAGTCCTAGGGCTTGTACTCAGGGCCTAGGCACTGTCCTTGAGCCTCTCTCTGCTCAAGGCTAACACTCTAGCACTTGAACCACAGTGCTACTTCCGGCTTTTTCTGTTTATGTGGTGCTGAGGAATCGAACCCAGGGCTTCAGGCATGTTAGGCAAGCACTCTACCACTGAGCCACCTTCCCAGTCTTGAGATGGAGTCTTGAACTTCCATCTTCCCAGTTTCCCCCTCCCAAGTGTCTAGGATTACAGATGTGGACCACTGAATCCCAGCAAGTTTAGGTCTCAACCATTTTACAAACCCATGGATGGAAAAATCCCATGTGGAAAAACATGACTATCAAAAATGGCCGGCTTATGGGACTGGGAAGGTGGCCTAGTGGTAGAGTGCTTGCCTTGCATGCATGAAGCCCTGGGTTCGATTCCTCAGCACCACATAAGCAGAAAAAGCCGGAAGTGGTACTGTAGCTCAAATAGTAGAGCACTAGCCTTGAGCGGAAGAGCTGAGGGACAGCGCCCAGGCCCAGAGTTCAGACCCCACGACCACTACCACCACCACTACCCTGCCCCACCAACAGAAGATTGGCTGGCTTGCTTCCCTCTTCTCTGAAACACTCACATTTACTATGATGCACACAGTGTTGTATAAGATAGAGAAGGTTCCCCCTCCCCCACCCCCACCCTGGAGGCTATGAATTGAGCTTCTCCTCCTCCTACTCTAGAGAGCAGAAGATGTCCCATGAGGCAGGGGAATCAGGATGTCGGCTGAGGGACTTAGTAAGCCAGGGGGAGAGACTCCCAAGGTGATGTCCCTCAGCTCTTCAGCTCAAGGCGAGCACTCTATCACTTGAGCCACAGCACCACTTCTGGTTTTCTGGTGGTTAATTGGAGATAAGAGTCTCACAGACTTTCCTGCCCGGGTTGGCTTTGAACTGTGATCCTTAGATCTCAGCCTCCAGTGTAGCTAGGATTACAGGTGTGAGCCACCAGCGCCTGGCTAGTCTTGTTGTTGTTTTCTTTTTTTGCTCAAGGCTGGTGTTCTACCAGTTAAGTTATAGCTCCACTTCTGGCTTTTTGCTGGGTAATTGGAGATGAGACTCTAATGGGCTTTCTTACCCAGGCTGACTTCAAACTGTGATCTTCAGACCTCAGTCTCCTGAATGGCTAGAATTACAGGTGTGAGTCGCCAGCACCTGATTGAGATTTTTTTTTTTTTTTAGTTTGGTCAGTTGTGGGGATTGAACTCAGGGCCTGGTCACTGCCTGAGCTCTTTTGTTCAAGGCTAGCGCTCTACCACTTTGAACCATAGTTTTCTGTGGTTAATTGGAGATCAAAGTCTCATGGATTTTCCTGCCTGAGCTGGCTTTGAGCTGTGATCCTCAGATCTCAGCCTCCTGAGCAGTGAGGATTGCAGGTGTGAGCCACCAGCGCCTGGCCTGGTTGAGATGTTTTGTTTGTCCCCTTTACCTTCTAGGAGCCTGCCAAGCCCAAACACCAGCACCTGCCAAACCGGGACCTAAATGCAGCCTGTCATATCCATTTGCTCATTCAGTTAGTCAAGATCCCTGGCAGGGAAACTGAGGCCCAGTCATTCTGCCAGGAAATAGCAGATCCTGGCCTCACACTTAGTACAACGGTTTCTTTTCTTTTTGCCTGTACTGGGATTGAATTCAAGGCCTCATGCTATCGAGGCTGGCTCTGTAAGTAGCACTTGATCTGTGACTAAGCCTTTTTCAATTGCTTATTTTCAAGGTAGAGTCTCAATGTATTGCCCTGGCTGGCCTGGGCTGTGGCTTCCCCATGGGGCTGTAGATGGCACGTGTGCACTTCTGCTTCCTCTATAGCTAACTGGTGCAGCCATTGAACCCAGCCATTCATTGGTTGAGATAGAGTCTTGGGAATCTTTCGTGGGACTGGTTGAGATCCTCCAGTCTCTGCCTACCAAGTAGCAGAGTACAGGCTTGAGCAACCAACCTGGTGCTCAGCTTGAGCTCGTGTTCTTTTTTTGTTTGTTGGTTGGTTAGTCATGGGGCTTGAACTCAGGGCCCAAGTGCTGTCTCTGAGCCTTTTCATTCAAGGCTAGCACTCTACCACTTTGAGCCACAGATCCACCTCTGGTTTTCTGGTGGTTAATTGGAGATAAGAGTCTTTTAGTCTTTCCTGCCGGGCTGGCTTCTACCTGTGAGCCTCAGATCTTCACCCTCTTGAGTTGCTAGGATGACAGGTGTGAGCCACCAGCCCCTGTGTTCTTTGTGCATCTGTGTGCCAGTACTAAACTAAGGGCTTGGACACTATTCCTTAGCTTTTTCCACTTAAAACTGGTGCTCTACTACTTAAACCACACCTCCACTCTCAGCTTTTTGCTGGTTAATTGTAGATAAGTGTCTCACAGACTGTGAATCATGATCCTCAGATCTCACCCTCCTGAATAA